CTCACCATTCTCAGGCCTGTTTAAGTTACTGCCAATTTTAGAAGCTTTTGTTTCTGTCCTCTCTCCCTCTCCCTCTCTCTCTCTGCTTCTCAAAATGTCTGGCTAGTCACATGGTCTAACTTCTCTGCAGAAGGTGAAGGGAAAGAGACTCCTCCTTCCTGCTTTGCTTCTCCAATAGAGAAGCCTACTGGGTGATGCAAGCAGGCAGATATGCTAATATCTGTGCACTGGAGGATTGTGGGAGGAACATCTAGCCCCTGATGGGGGTCCTGTGGGGCACCCCAAAACACTGAGTAGCTCTCCTGGCCTCTTTCAGGACTGGGGCTGTGCAGCACTGTTTTGATCAGGAGGTACAGCCGGCGGTCACCATGCCTTTGGGGGATAGTGCACACAAAGGGCCAGGAGGCTTAGGGGCCATTCAAACTCAGACCTGGCAGGGGAGATACCATTGTTATAAAAGTGGTTTTCCCAGGGTAAGGCTCATCTATTGCACTTTGGATGAGCTGACTCCTGTGATTTCCCCAAATGTGGGAAAGTCAACTGCCTAAGTGGGAGACTGTGTTTGTGGTTTCCCTTGGTATTTCTAGAACCACCCTTTGGTCCTTGGCTATTTTCACTGCTTGCTGCCATAGGCCTGTTTGCCTTGCTGGTTTTCCAGGTGGGCTGCAGGAAGCAGATCCTGGAAAGCTAGCAGTGCAGGATGGTGAGGTCCAAACAGAAAGCAGTCTCTGCTGCCAGTTCAGAGGCCTCCCAGCATGGCAGTGGGAGGCTTTTGGGTGGTGGTGGCTGAGCTCTGGGTTACTGCATTCACTCCATAAGACGCATGTACTTTCCCTCCCACCTTTTTGGAGAGAAAAAGTGCGTCTTATGGAGCGAAAAATACGGTACATTTCGATAATAAAATATAAAACAACATGTACATATTTAAAGAGTGGTTCCTAAAGCAAAATCAAGATCACAAACATTGTGATTCAGAGACAGTGTTTTCATTTTTATTTTTTTGAACTAGAGTACTGAGAAGGCTGCTTGAATTGCTCTAGCCAGAATTCTGGAGCCTATAGCCCAAAAGAACAAAGCCACCCTCTCAGGTGTGGCTTTGTTTTCCTACTTTTTCCTAAAATCATTAGATTAGAAATTGAGGGTCATCTTACACATGAAATTAAGGAGAAAACCACTTGGTTGCAAAACAGCCCATGTCTCTGCAAAGCCCAATCTGCCTCTAGTCACAAGTGAAACTGCCAATAGCTTGTCTCTGCAGACATCAGCCATGAGCCTTATGTAAATGACATAAGCTGATGCGTAGGAGAGCATGTAGGCAGGCGCATAGGCAGTGCATGGATGTGACAGTGACTGGTAATGTCAGAGCATTTTGAACCCATAAAGATGTCAGAAAATAAAATTTTAAAAATAAGTGAATGTCTTACTCTGCAAAATTCAAACTGAATGTAACCAGTTATGGAAATGAGCATGGAAATAGAGCTGCAGAGAGACGGTTTGGACCTCCTCCCACTGAGTGTATGATCAGACAGTGGAGAAAACAGGAAGAACAATTCAAGATGCCAAAAAAAGAAAAAGGCCTTGTGATGTTTGTGTCCCTTACTTGTTTTTCCCTCACAAAGGCTCATCTTGCATTTTCTTCTCACTGCCACTAGTGGTTTACTTCAGTCCACAATATAAATGTCAAAACACTTGTGAACAGAAACGGAATTTATTTACAGTGGACCCTTGACTTACAGACGGCTTGACTTACAGACTTTTTGAGTTACAGACTTCTCTGGCCGCAAAATTTAGGTTTGACTTGCAGACTGAGATTTGACTTACAGACCAGAAAAAAACAAAATGGAACAAAAACGGCCTGTTACGGGATTAATCGGTTTTCAATGCACTGTAGGTCAGTGGAGACTTGACTTAGAGACTTTTTGACTTGAGAACCGCCTTCCGATACGGATTAAGTTCTCAAGTCAAGACCCCACTGTATTGAGGTGAAGCAGAATAAGTAATAACCAAAGTTTTTCAGATACACAGTATACATAAGCAATTCATCAACAGTTCTCTCAGTACATACTTCTTTTCTGTTGCACTATTACCGCCTTCCCTACCTATTTTCCTAATCAGCTCTATCTCTCTGATTAACCCTATCTATCTGTTCCCTCTCTCTCTGACTAACCAGCCTGCTCCTCCTTCAGCCAAACCTCATATATATTCATTGACTCCGCCCCTCCAGCTCTCTCATAGACTCATGCAAATAAGCTCTTGAGCTTGAGTGGCAGGAGTGACAGGACCAATCACCTTAAGAGGAAACATCAGCAAAATGGCCAAACATAGAGCAGAGGCTCAAGACTTGGATTTTGGAGCAATGCTAGAGTGGGATATGTGTATCAACCAATCTTATTCAATATCAGGCAAGAATGTTTGCAAATGAAATGAAGATTGTTGGTTTTACAGGAAAGGCAATATGGTGATTCAATTTCATGAGGAGAGAAGGGTTGGTCATGGGAGCACAAACAAAGCTAGCAAAAAATTCCACCTGTTTATGAGGATAAAATCCAACAGTTTCACTCCTATGTTATAAAACTTCATAAAAAATCTTGAACCAAATCAGATTGCAAACATGGATGAGGTGCCTCTCAATTTTGATGTGCCTTCCAACAGAACTGTTGATGTGAAAGAAATCAAAACAGTGGTAATCAAAACAAGTGGCCACAAAAAGGAACACTATACTGAGGTACTTTCATGCTGTGCAGATGGTATTAAGCTGCTTCCTCTACTTATTTTTAAGAGGAAAATGTGTTCTAAAGAGACCGTACCACCTGGCATTATTGTGCAAGTTCATGAGAAGGAATGGAAGGATTAATGAAGACTTCATGGTTTGGGTTGCATTGGATTTGTGAACACATCCAGCAGTTATTCCTGGTGGACTTACAGGTCAGCTACAGCCACTAGATGTTTAAATCAACAAGCCATTTAAAGTCCTGATGAAAGAAAAATGGAATAGATGGATTCAAAAAGCAGGTGGTAATTTGACACCGACAGGAAGAATGAAAAAAACAACCATTACTGAGGTTAGCAGTTGGGTTCTAAACTCATGATACGGTGTCAAAAAGAGGTGATTGTGAAATCCTTCAAGAAATGTGGAATCAACAATACCATGGACAGAACTGAGGATGATCTCATATATATAGATAGTGACTCAGTAGATAGCAGTGATGCAATAGAAGTTGAAAAAACTGAAATTAATAGTGATGAAGAAGAAAGCAATGATGCAATAGAGGTTGAGTGAAGTGATTTGTTCAGTTAAGTGTAATGCATAATATAGTACTAGTATGTAAATGTTGCCTAATTACAAAATAAAAATGTGTTTCTTTCTACTGTTTAAAATATTAATTTCTGAATTTGGGTTCGAAAACTGGGGGTTCTTATACACAGAAAAATATAGCTACAGCATTAATGAGAAAAAAAAGCTTCCATTTCTGAGTTCCAGAGAAGGAGGAATGGCTGGACAGGGCTAGATTCTGTGGCACTGCAAAACACTAGAGTTATTATAGTTTAATGAGAGGCATCCTGTACAGACCATGATAATAAATAAGTTAGTAAGTAAATAAATAAAATATATAACTGCTTCCAAGTGTCTGCAGTCTCATTTTAGGCAGTAAGGCTATAGAAGAATTATAAATGGTAGCCAAGGCACAGCTAGCAAAGTAGGAATGTGGACAACGGCAATTATATGTGTTTAGGCTTTGTTTTGTCTGGGGATGGAAATAACATTATCAGAAGTCTTCATGGAAGAGCTGGGTTAAAAAACAAAGAGATGGCACAATGTATAAGATAAAAGGCAGCATATAGCAACAGAAAGATTGTATCTAGGCCTTCACTCACACTTGGCTGAACTTTGGTGAAATTGTCCTAGTTAGTTAAAAACATTATTTCTGTTTGTTTTCAGTTTGAAGTTGCCGTCTACCAAGTGTAAAAGGGAAGTCATTTCCCCAGTTTTTCATAAGAAAGGTCATCAGAGAACAGATGAGCCTGTGATGAAGAAATCAAAACGGTAGTTGCAACTAATACCAAATGAATGGAGAGGAAAAAGAATATTGTCCTCCGCTTATATTTAAAACAAAAAAGCCAAGGAGTTTTGCATGCATTTGTTTTCAAGGTATAATAATGTTACGTGTGTAACATGCTGAAACAGCTTTATTTAGTATTTGTTCATGCAGAATTCTATATGCATTGCAGAAGTTTACTGTGTCTCTCAAGCAGAGATTGTCAAGGGTGACTCACTAATGCTAATGCTTCCAGTCCATTCATCACCAATGGCCTTTTAATGACACCTTTTGTACATAAGCCACATTTTTAAAAAAATGCATTTTACTGTGTGGATTTAATCATTTTATTTAATAGCAAGGACTAGTCTGTGAATTGTTATTTTAAAATGTTGTGTAGTCATCATTAGAATTGTGTAGGACCCGCATAAGGAGGAAGGGAACTATTGTACAAGTAATCAACAAATCCCTAGTAATGGGCAAAATAGTTTTCCCACAGTGTGTTCAAATCAAGTACAGTATATTAGTATAAGGAGGAGATTTCACTTCACTTCCTTTCCTTTTCACATTTGTGATTTTCTGTATGGTAAAATTTGCAGTTGCATTTATATTCTCGTATAAATTTTCTCCCAGCATTGAAGTAGCTAGAGCTCATTAAAGGTAAGATTAGACATTGAAAAGTATTAATTCTGAAGAAAAAACTGACTTGCATTGAGCTTTTAATTGTTCTCTAATTTCTTTTTTTCAACCTGGAAGACTGAAATTAAAAATACATAAAAAAACTTTACCATTTTATCTTACTTTGTTCGTGTTGTATTTTACATAATTACATTCAGAGATAGTGTAGAGTGTGGTCCAGTTGCCAGAAGCTTTTGTAAGCTTGCATTGTAAGCTTGCATAACAAGAACAACTCTTCAAATTCCAATCTACATAAAGTGTAGAATTGATTGTTATCAAAATCTCTTTCTTGCAAAAATGTACGTTGCCAAATACCTGAGATTATTTTTAAATGTTCATTTTTATAACTAGAATCAACATTCTTTATATTTTTAAATTTTCTTTTGGTTTTTGTTTCAGAGATTTCTATTGTTGTAATGTGATTTATTGTCAAATATTCTACTTTGTTTCTTACTGAATTTTATATATAAATTCTAAAATGTTCCCTGAAACTAGAGTTTTAGTATTTGAGTCATGAGATTATTAATTCATTAAGATTTTATAGATTAGTCTCCAATAAATATACAAGGGGCATAACCCAAGTAACATTTCTGAGTCCCATTGAGTTCAGTAAGAATAAACACAAGTCTGATTTTCTTACATTGAAAACTTTGGGTTACAATAATACATAAATTTGGTTAGATTCTGTGTGAAATGTGAAAGCATAATAAGCCATGATCAATCAACAGAAAATATCATTGATTATTAATGCTGATTATTCCTTCCGTAACCCCTTTTTTATAAACTTAATGAAAGACATAGTAGGTAAAAACAGTTGGGGCATTTTAGAGGACTGCCACAATTTTCATCCTTGGTTCCAGTTCTTGGAGAGACTGGAACAGTTACGCTTCAAGAAGCTGTATCCAATTTTCAGCTTGGCTTTCTCATGTAATTGCAGATCCTTGCTCACTTCAAATACTGGAGAATTCTTCACAACCCACTTTAATCAAGGAAATAGCATCCAACGTGGCATATTGCTAAGCAGTACTTCTGGGTATTAATCAAACACAGCAAGCTATCACAGGCTCACCCAACAGCCACAAAGGCATACTTTACCATACAGTTGCACTAAGGGAGTGCCATGTATGGTATTTTTAACAACCAAACTATTCCACTGCCTCCCTTTTATATAGAAATTTCTTCACAAAATACATTTATAGTTTAATTTACCTTATTGCCTAGAACAGTGGTTCTTAACCTTTTTGAAAGAAACACGCCCTTGGGCCATTGAGAAAGTTATCATTGCCCCCCTCCCCATGGCGATATTCATTCATTCATTCATTCATTCATTCATTCATTCATTCATTCATTCATTCATTCATTCAAGAAAGACACTCAAATCCAATGACTTCTGAAAATAAAATTCAACAGCCAAC